ACTAAAGGTTTTTTTGAGAATAAAAACAATGGAATATTTCTGATTTATGTTCCACCTAATTAAGCCTGTGTAAATTTTATCTATCTAATTGATACATTAATTATCGATAGTGATGGATATAAATACTCAAGCTCAGTTACTGTGTAATTACAAACAATTAATCATTCATAATTCCGTAATTGTGACTTCCCATATTCCTATTTGGCATAGTAATCCACTTGTAAAAATTTTCAAAATCATTATACGTATGTAAATCTAACATCATCTTTTAAAGATACCTTCGAATATTTTTCCTTTTTTATGATTTCCTCTACGAAGAATAGATTCCAAGGTAAGTTTTTTTTACACAATTATATGATGAGAAATTGAAGAAATAGATTATTGACTGAGGAAATTATGAAACATATTCGAAACACAGTAAAAGGAACAAAACTTTTTTAAATGTTTCAACGGTACTCAATGTCTTATAGAAATAACAAACTTTTTACCTTTCAGTACTTACACTGAACATCGCCCCTACCAAATCAAAAAATCAACAATCAATTTAACTACATACGCAAGACATTCTTTACCATTATGAAGCTATATTTAAAAGTGTTGGTTGGATTAGCAATGGTAGTTGCGACAGTTCTCACACAATATGATAACTGCATACTGACGGGAAATTCGTTGGAAAATCTTAACTCTATTCAGCGACAATGCACTGAGATTATAATAGAAAACTTGACAGTGCCTGCAAAGCAAAGTTTATTATTAAGATCACTTCGAAGTGGTACTACAATAATTTATTCTTGGTGATAGATTCGAAGGTAAGCTTTTTTTGTTACGTAAGTATATGTTGTCCGATAGAAGAAACAGATTCTTCACTTAGGAAATTATGAAACATTCGAAATTCAGTAAAAGGAACAAAACTTTTTTAAATGTTTCAATAAGCAAATTTACTTGATGAAGACTTAACTACCATGAACATATGTAGAGTTCCGCTTATTTAACCATTTAATAGTTAAAAGCATTTTCTTTTGTTAATACTGTACTCAATGTCTTATAGAAATAACAAACTTTTTACCTTTCAGCACTTACACTGAACATCGCCACCGTCCAAAGCAAAAAATCAGCAATCAATTTAAGTACCTAAATACGTAAGACTTTCATTACCATTATGAAGTTGTATTTAAAAGTGTTGCTTGGATTAGCTATAGTAATTGCGGCAGTTTTCACACAAAATAACAACTGCACCCTGACAGGGAATTCATTGGACAATCTTATCGCTATTCAGCAACAATGCACTGAGATTGTAATAGAAAATTTCACAGTGCCTGCAAATCGAACTTTATTATTAAGAAGACTTCAGAATGGTACTAGAATAATATTCAGAGGAACCATAAGATTCGAATACGAAGAATGGGATGGAGATCTCATTGTGGTCTCAGGCTCAAACATTACTGTTATTGGAGATCCTGGACACCTATTCGTTTGCCATGGTGAAAGGTGGTGGGATGGATTTGGTGGAAATGGTGGCAAATTAAAGCCGAAATTTTTCCGCACGACCAACTTAAACTATTCCTCTGTCACAGGGTTGAGAGTAAAAAATACCCCGAAACAAGTTTTTTCCGTTAACCGCTGCAATCATGTCGTGTTTTCGAACATCATAATAGATAATGTGGACGGGGATTCAAGGGGTGGGCATAATACTGATGGATTTGATTTGAACGAAAATGATGATATAACGATTCAAAACAGTCAAATTGTCAATCAAGACGATTGTTTCGCGATTGGTTCGGGAACAAATTGTAATTTTTTTGACAACCACTGTTCCGGTGGTCATGGAATATCTATCGGTTCAGTTGGTGGCCGCAGAAACAACGTGGTCCGAAATGTTCACGTTAAAAATTGCAGTGTGGTAGATTCGGAAAACGGAATTCGGATTAAAACTATTGTTAACGCAACAGGCCAAGTACGTGACATCAAGTACGAAGGTATAACTATGAGAAATATTACCAATTTTGGTATATTGGTACGAGGCGACTATTTGAATGGCGGACCCACTGGACATCCTACAGCGGGAGTCCCTATTACAAACTTAACTCTTGACAATGTTCGCGGTTGGGTACGACAATATGCAGTCAACGTCTACGTGCTTCTTGCAGACGGTGTAGCCTCAGGCTGGAAATGGACCAACGTTAGTATTACAGGCAGCACATTAAACAANTTAGTGCGAATGTCTGTTACCATACAAAAAATCACTTACATATATCGCAGCGTTAAATCACAATATTTAGAATAGGAACCCATGTTTTCGGAAAAATTCATACTAGGCATGAGCAGACTCTTGCGGTCAATCGCCTTTATAAATTACATCGAATTCTCTTCTGTTTACCGATAGCATCGGCGAATAATGAAATGGGTTGCAATTTTGTCACCCGCAAATGATGAAAACCCGAATAAGGAAACCGTGAATAAGGAACTTTTACTGTACTTGGTAAATGGTGGTTTTTGGAGGTGATAAAATAGAATGGTACTAACGGTTTTTCTCAGAATAAAAACAATTGAATGTTTTTGATTTACGTTTCCCCTAATTAAGGCCGTGTAAATTTTATCTATCTAATAGATACATTAATTATTATTGATAGTGATGGCTATAAATACTCAAGCTCAGTTACTGTGTAATCATAAAGATCATTGAGGATTGTCTAATCGTAAATTGAATTTTAAACATTTTTCAAAGGCTGAGCGGGGCTACACCAATGACATTTGCTAAGGCGGATACCAGCTAACTGATCAGCTACCGTGATGATTTTGGTAATACTTGGTAAATGGTGGTTCTTGGAGGTGATAAAATGAATTGGTACTAAAGGTTTTTCTCAGAATAAAAACAATGGAATGTTTTTGATTTATTTTCCCCTCAATTAAGCCCGTGTAAATTTTATCTACCTAATTGATACATTAATTATCGATAGTGATGCCTATAAATACTCAAGCTCTGTTACTGTGTTATTATAAACAATTAATCATTCATAATCCGTAATTGTGACATCTTTATTTCTATTTGGGATAGTAATCCACTTGTAAAAATTTTTAAAATTTTTATACGTATGTAAATCCAACATCATCTGCTGAACATACTTTCGAACATCTCATTTTTCATGATTACCTGCACGAAGAATAGATTCCAAGGTAAGTTTTTTTTACACAATTATGTGATGACAAATACAAGAAATATATTATTAACTGAGGAAATTATAAAACCCGTTTGAAATATATAAAAAAAGAAAATAAAAGGTTTTTGAATCATTGCTAGTTTGATTAGTTGGAACTCAACAAAGGTTTAACTTCCCGAAACACGTAGAGTTCTACTAATTTAACTTTCAAATACTTAAAGTATTTTCTTTTGTTTATTTTGTACTGGATGTCTGATAGAAGTAACAAAGTTTTTACCTTTCAGCACTTACACTGAACATCGCCACCGTCCAAAGCAAAAAATCAGCAATCAATTTACCTAAATACGTAAGACTTTCATTACCATTATGAAGTTATATTTGAAAGTGTTGGTTGGATTAGCAATAGTAGTTGCGACAGTTTTCACACAAAATAATAACTGCACCCTGACGGGCAATTCCTTGAACAATCTTAACTCTATTCAGCGACAATGCACTGAGATTGTAATAGAAAATTTCACAGTGCCTGCAAATCGAACTTTATTATTAAGATCACTTCGAAGTGGTACTACAATAACTTTCAAAGGAATCATAAGATTTGAATATGCAGAATGGGAAGACGATCTTATTGTGGTCTCAGGCTCAAACATCACTGTCATAGGAGAACCTGGACATCAATTCGATTGTCATGGCGAAAGGTGGTGGGATGGACAAGGTGGAAATGGTGGCAAATCAAAACCGAAATTTTTCCGCACGACCAACTTAAATTATTCAACTGTCACAGGGTTGAACGTAAGAAATACCCCGAAACAAGTTTTTTCCGTTAACCGCTGCAATCATGTCGTATTTTCGAACATCATAATAGATAATTTGGACGGGGATTCAAGGGGTGGGCATAATACTGACGGATTTGATTTGAACGAAAATAATGATATAACGATTCAAAACAGTCAAATTTTTAATCAAGACGATTGTTTCGCGATCGGTTCGGGAACAAATTGTAATTTTTTTTACAACTACTGTTCCGGTGGTCATGGAATATCCATCGGTTCAGTTGGTGGCCGCAGAAGCAACGTAGTGCAAAATGTTCACGTTAAAAATTGCACTGTGGTAAACTCGGTAAACGGAATTCGGATTAAAACGATTGTTAACGCAACAGGCCAAGTACTTGACATCAAGTATGAAGGTATAATTTTGGAAAACATTACTAATTATGGTATAGTGGTACGAGGCGACTATCTGAATGGCGGACCCACTGGGCATCCCTCAAGGGGAGTTCCTATTAGAAATTTTACTCTGGATAATGTTCACGGCAGGGTACAAGAACGTGGTGTCAACGTCTACATACTTCTTGGAGAAGGTGTAGCCTCAGGCTGGAAATGGACCGATGTCGAAGTCACAGGCAGCAGACGTACCAACGTCGGGTGTACTGGAGTGCCATCAAATTCAGGAGTTGAATGTTAATCAAAATTATATTACACTTATAGATATATGTATATTCAAATTGTTCTTACCCTACAAAGCTTACTTAAAAGATACATAATTACTTTTATACTGCCCTACGAGATGATCATAAAAACGTGTACAATCATTCTAAACGTCTCAAGATGTGAAAACGATGTAAACTGGACACAGATATGTGTCAATAAAAGGAATATGATTCTTAGAACTCATGTACAAGGATACACCATAACCAAGTCTAGATCTAAACTCGTTTCTATAGGGTTGTTCGGAAAGTCATTTCGTTTTTTTTTGTGGAAATGAAAGACAGTTTTCGTATAATAAACAAATAC